GCTGCCCCTTCTTTGTCCCTACTCTTGCCAGCTTTTCACACTGGCATCCAAACTCAGGACCTCATGCCCGTGTGGCTCGCATGTGACCTCATGCCCGTGTGGCTCACATGTGACCTCATGCCCGTGTGGCTAGCATGTGACCTCATGCCCGTGTGGCTCACATGTTACCTCATACCCATGTGGCTAGCATGTTACCCTATGCCCGGGTGGCTAGCATGTTACCGACTGAGCTACATCCCAAGTTCTTGTTTTTTTCTTCTAAAAGAGTAAAGGAAATTCAGAACAAAATTGACAGTACAGCTGACAACATTCTTCAGAAGTGAAGTTTTACTTAGCAAAAATTTGCGAGTGGAGGAATGTCTTATGCATATGTGTGATGCATGCACATGGGTGAGTGTGCGCCATGCATACATGTGGAGGCCAGAACGGCACAGCAAGCATATCCCTCCATCACTCTCCACCATCTCTCTCATTTCCTTCTACCTTGGGCTCCCCTTCCCTCCCCACCTCCCCCTTCTCTTCCTTCCCTTTAAGACAGGATCTTATTATGTAGTGAGGTTGGTCTCAAACTCTCCATCCTCCTGCCTCCACCTACTAAGCACTGAACTAACAGGCTCACGACAACACACTCGATTCTTTGTGACTTGCGATCCTTGTAACAGAATCACCTGGGTGCCCAGTCTATTCCCAATGGCTTCAGAGCCCTGAGCTAATTTTCGTTGACCTCACGTTTCTTGACAAGAGTGCTCGATGTTTAAACCCTGCAGAGGAGGCACCAATCACCTCACAGTTTCTGAGAAGACCATCTGTAGCACAATTAATAAAAACTCAGAGACAGAAATTGGTGTTCAACCTAAAAACCAGAAAAGCAAAGCAGCCAGCCCCTGGCTCTTACCTCAATCTCAGTCCAAATAGCAACCCTGCCTCCAGGATTTTCAGAATGAGACTGTGTGTGTGCGTGAGCTGTCTCCTCCGGTTTTATAATCCTCCCTAGGGCTAGGATTAAGGGGGTGAACCACTACCGCCCAGTTTCTATAGCAAGCTAGTGTGGCTATGGGATTAAAGGTGTGTGTTGTTGCTGCCTGGACTATAAGGCTGGCCGGTGTGACTGTTTTACTTTTCTGATCCTCAGGCAAGTTTTATTTATTAAAATACAAATGAAGTGTCCTTGGGCTTCCCACAGGTCAGGGAACCCTGATTGCTCTTCGAGCTGATGAGGGAGGGGGACTTGATCGGGGGACGGGGAGGGAAATGGGAGGCGGTGGCGGGGAGGAGGCAGAAATCCTTAAATAAATAAATTAATTAAAAAAATACAAATGAAGTGCCATTACATTCACATATACAACATGCATAGAGAAGCAGCCACACTCTCCTGGGACAGGCATCTTCCTGACTCTGTTGGGATTAAAGATGGGTGCAATCATGCCAGCTTTAAGCAATGTGTGTTTGTGTGTGTGTGTGTGTGTGTGTGTGTGTGTGTGTGTGATGCTAGGCAAACACTCTATCAACTGACCAACTGAGCTGTTTCCCCAGCGAAATAAATACTATTTTAATGCGACTGATTAAAAGTCAAAACCAGTACAATAAAGAGAATGGGTTCCAAAAAGCCAGTACACACAGTAGGAATAAATTCTGGTTCCACTGCCAATGGCCCCGTAGTCTGCCCCAGCCATACAACTGCCACCACCACAGCCAGGATCTCAGTATGTAGTCCCAACTGGCATCAAACTCACAGCAAGCCTCCTGCCTCGGCTTTTGAGTATTTAGATAACAGGATGGAGCCACCACACCATACTTCCATGTAGATGTTTTCGTGGGAAAATTGGCTTTGGTGGGAATGGGGGTCTGATGTTGCTTCCCCTTCTGGGTGCACACCAGAGACTGGGGACCCCTCTCCAGACACCTGTGCTTGATGTGACCCACAATGGCAGCCTGTAAGTGGGCAGAACTTGGCAGACAGATCCCCATCACAGACCCCCATGGAAATCCCAACCCACTCCCACCAAGATCTGTAAACTGCCTTCCCTCACAGCTCCACACTCCAGGGGCAGAACTGTGACAGCTCAGAGCCTGTAATTCTCGTCCTAACAACCATTTCCTTAACCTTAGCAACCCTCTCCAGGCGTGTTTTCCATCTTCTAAAAAATTAAAATGTTCTATTCCTTTAAGGCAAAGCCTCCTTGCCATTCATGTCATCGCTTCTTTGCCGGCTTGACTTCACGAATAGCAGAAACTTCCTCCGTCTCTAGGTATTTGGTAAGGCCTTCTTGAGCTAGGTAGCTTTTTTATTTTTAGTGTTTTACATTTTTATTTATTTTGTGTTTGTGAGTGCACATAGCCTGCAAGCCATCGTGTGTGTGGAGGTCAGAGGACGACTTGTGGGAACGGGTTCTTGCACCGCGTGGTTGCCAGCGAATAAACTCAGGTCACCAGGCTTGATGGCAGCATCATTGCCCACTGAGTCATCTTGATGGCTCCCATTTCATTAAAAAAGAAAAAAGCCAAACAAATCGTCCACCACGTGTTCTCCATCTGCAATCCCATGCATGCAGCTTTCTCCTTCTTGGAGGCCCCTCAGATGTTTTTGTGATGAACACAGATGCCTCGAGTCATCCGCCAAGAAGTGATTTTCATCCCACCACAGATCTCAACAGGAGTGCTCCTCAGGGCTCTACTCTGCTCTTTCTGAAACATCCTGGGCTTGTGGGCAGAGTCCTTGGGACAAAGGACAGATGAGTGACTCAGTTGAGTTGACACAAAGAGGACCTAACACCCCAAAAGGGCTTGTTTGCACAGGGAGTTGAAGTGTTGTCACTCCTTTCACTCCTGTTGCCAGGCAACCAGGACGCTCCATCAATGACTGAGACATAGTATCTACCTGGGAGATACAGTATTGGGAGGCTCTGGCTCAGTTGTCTTAGGAGGCAAAGCCTACAAATTTGTTTCTGCTACAAACCGATTCAGGAGAGGGTTGTTTTGGTTTTTTATGGTGTTTTGTTTTGTTTTGGTTTTAGTATTTTTAAATAAAGTTGGTACTTATATATGAAATTCTCCAATTTTTTAATTTAAAAAAACTCAATAAAATTGCAGGATACAAAGCCAAAAATATTTTTTAATTAAAAATAAAATTGGTTTAGCACTCAAAAAAATAGAAACAGCTAAAATTTTAATTTCTGACAAAACAATAAATATAGTATTAACATTTTTGATGTTTTAAATTTTGTAGACTTTATTACATTGGCTTTTATTTTTAATCAGTCGCGTTAAAATAATATTTATTTGTCTGGGAAAACAACTCAATTGGTCAATTGGTAGAGTGTTTGCCTAGCATGCATGAAGTCCTAGGTTCTATCCGTGCATACTAATACACACGCACACACATTGCTTAAAGCTGGCATGATCGCACCTATCTTTAATCCCAACAGAGTCAGGAAGACGCCTGTGAGTTTCAGGCCAGTCAGGTCTACATAGTGAGACCCTCCCTCAAAGTAAAGAACAACAACCAAAATGGTGTTCCTCCCTCTACAGTTCATCAGTCAGGGCACGCAGCTTCGCTCACCACCTGCACAACTCTGACATACTGGAACGGGGCAGGAATCAGGAAGACTCCACTGGCTTTGGCGGTTCAGGTCATGAGGGCTAAGCTAACGAGGCCAGTTCCCTCCATGACTGTAGTTGGAGAGAGAGAGACACTTAGGGTGTAATCAAGGCGGTGACACCAATGAACCCAGGACTGGACTCTGGGTGGGCAAGGACAGCCACCACCCACCTGAGAGGGGCAAGGAGAGCTAGCTCACAGCATTCAACAGAAAGCTCTGAGAAATAAAAGGGTGTTGGTGGACTGGCCAGGGGCACAGCTGTGAGTCTACAGTTGGGTTTTTGTTTGTTTGTTGGTTGTTTGGTTGGTTGATTTTTTTCCTTTGTTCTTTGTTAGGTTGGAAAAAAGAACCACAAACATGAACAACATAGAAATACCTCCCCCATGTTCCCTGAATACAGATGAATGTGGGCAAGAGAATGTATTCCTGGAAAGTGTAGCAGACTCTCCAACGAAGAGAATGAATGACCGCCCTGATGCTGGAACTGTTTAAACACACTCTTCCCCTGGTCTGTTTCCATGGAGAGATCACGATTTATTTACCTGTATTTAAAGTTTCCCATGGTGCCTTAAGAGAGACAGTTCTCTCTCGGATCAGGATGATCACCTGACTCAGAGTTCATCAGCTGATCAACTGAGCAAAGGTACAACGTCAGAGGTCTGGACTGGGGAGGCCCGTGAGATGGAGTGAAGGTGGATTCACCAGGGGAATGGCAGGCAGGTGAGCACCTCCTGGATGCAGAGATTTAAACAGCATTGCACTAGTGCTGCCTACTCCTCTTCCCGTCCCCTCGACATCGGCTAATATGTGTCCAGACCCCATCTCCCACCACCACCCTCCTTTTCAGATACACTAGCATCCCCACAGGTCTCTCAGCTCTCTGCCCCGTCCCCTCCTCTGAGCTGTGATGTGTGCCATCCTCCCAGATCCCCCCTGAGTCTTCAGGAGTCACCTCCTCAGGGATGCCCTCCTGCATCACACCGTATGAGAGGATAGCCCTGCCCAGGACCCCCTCCCTCCCTGCCCAGGACCCGCTCCCCCATCTGCACCTGTTCCTGCATCATCTCCCCCTGAAGCTGCTGGCTGATGTGTTTACCTGCCCCTGTCATCCTCTGAGGCTGGAATCCATTGTCAACAGATGGATCGCATTCACTGCCACATTCAGGCGGCCAGCACAGCAGCTGTGGGAACAACAGAGATGTCCCCAACCGTATGTTAAGTGAAGTAACGGGTTAGTATGTGGATGACTGCCTTGACAATCTTTGCATGGGGACGTGTTGTTTTACATCTGACTTGTTCTGTTTTCTTCTTGTGTATAGTGCGGGCCTGCCGGGGAAGAACTGGCACCCAGCCATCACAAGGAAATGTCATATTAGGGATGGACAGATGGCTCTGAGGTTAAAAGCACTGACTGCTCTTCTGGAGGACCCAGGTTTGATTCCCAACACCCACACAGCGGTTCACAACCATCTGTAACTCCACTTCCAGGGGATTCGATAGCCTCACCTGGCCTCTATGGGCACAGGCGGACTTGTGACACACAGGCATAGATGCTGGCAAAACATCCAGACACAAAATAATTTTATTATTTAATGTCACATTTGTATTAAATTATTTAATGTCACGTTGCTTGATTGCATGCTATCATATGTTCATTTCCTATCATCATGCAGAACTAACAGATTAACATCCTCACAGGTTCCTCAGCTGTCTACCGTGTCTCCTCCTCTGAGTCTTTAAATGTTTCTGTTCCTCCCACCTAACGTATTAGCCCTCCAGAGCCCATGACAGCTGAAAAAAAAAAAACTGTTAAAAGCAGCACAAGGCTTATTATTTACTGGGTCCAGACTTCTAGGTCTCAATCCATTGCAGTGAGGACATTGCAGGTAGCCAGGAGCTTGACGCAGCTGGTCACATTGCATTCAGTCAAGAGCAGACAGCCAAGGATAAATGCAGGCATGCCAGCGCTCAGCCAAAATCCAGGACCTTTTGCCAAAGAATGGCGCCACCCACAGTGGGTGAGCCTTCCTTCTGATCAAGACAGTCCCCCACAGATATGCCCACAGGCCATCACAATCTAGACAGTCCCTCATTGAAACTCTTTTCTCCAGGTGATTCTAGACTGTATCGAGTAGACAGCCACAAACCAACGGCTACAGACAACAAAGCAGGTAGACTTCCCCAACTGAGAGCCCTCATTTTTACAGGTTAGTCCCTCCCCTGCCTTTTGACAGAGAATTTTGATATTCTTTCTTTAAACAAATTGTTAAGGTTGACAGGAACCCTCTAAAATAAATGCCTGGACCTCGCTCATTCTAGGCTTGACCCCACGGTCAATGCTTGAAGGCACTCTGGAGCCAAGAAGGCCATTCAGGCCGTGATGAACAGAGCCAGAACTGGGTTGATATCCTGGACGCATCAAGCCTTTGGATACAGGAGTTCCCAGGACGAGTAGCTTTCCACCAAGTAGCAACTGGTGAGGTGGCAGGTGAAGTGACGTGGTTGGTGAGGGTCAGGCATGCTTGGGTGTGACATGGGAAACAGGAGACATCTCATCTGACTCCTGAAGGAAGAAGAGGTACAGGGCCCAGGAGTGGCCACAGGATGGGGCTCCTGGCAGAGAGGTCAGCAAGAGTGAGGCCAGAGTTAACGTCCTGGCAGGAGCCGAATCAGACCACTGAGACAATAACTCTCAAAGAATTGATGCCCCCAGAATTAGATGCTTAGGAAAGGAAACCACAGAAACCCAGTAATAGCCAGAGAAGGAATTTGTCGCCAGAATGGGATTTCACAGAGTTCTGACTTGTCAGGACATCTTGCAGGAGAGATGAGCTGAGAGGACAATGGATCAGTGGCGAGCAGGGCCACATCTTGACCAAGTGGATGGGACCGTGTGTGACCATGGCCAAACAGGATGGCCCAACCATGACCAGTGATGTGGGATTCCCCTCTGTATGCTGTGAATACCATTGATTAATAAAGAAACCACTTTGGCCTATAGCAAGGCAGAACTTAGCTAGGCAGAGGGGGGACTAAACTGAATGCTGGGAGAAAGAAGGTGAGGTCAGAGAGAAGCCATGTAGCCCCATGGGAGACAAACGCCCGAACTTTACCAGGTAAGCTACAGCCTCGTGGCAATACACAGATAAATGGAAATGGGTTGAATTAAGATGTAAGAGATAGCCAATAAGAAGCTAGAGCTAATGGACCAAGCAGTGATTTAATTAATACAGTTTCTGTGTAATTATTTCGGGGCTGAGCAGCTGGGAACAAACAAGCAGCCTCCTACAACAGACCAGGACTGCTTAGCTCCGCAGGCCTCTCATCTAAACTGTCAGGACCTAATATGATCCAGGGGTCCCCCGGGCATCTTTATTTGTTCTTTCTCCATACAGCCACTGAATAAACAGTCTTTGTTTTTCTGCTATTAGTTGTCTCTTTCATTGGCATATTGTGGACAAGTGGCCAAACCTACCTTGTTGGGCTTCAGCCACTCAGGCTCTACCCCTAAAACCTGCTAACAGCCTCACTACCCTTCAGGGGCTACAACAGAACCTCTGAGAAATTCCCTCTGATGGCCAAGAGTTAAGTCTGTGGCCACTTACGAGGTTCTTAGCGAGTGGCTAACATGGAGCCCCAGTCCCAGTGATACCACACCCGAGCTGAGAGACTCCAAAATGGTTAATTCCATGCCTGTCTCCTCATCGCAAGCACAGGGACACTCATAGTCCCATCTCATAGAGCTGCGGTGAGGACTGAGAAAGTGGAGATGCTTAGCTCAGTACCTGACATACGGTGAATATGGGCTCTCCTGCTGGTGTGTAGGTGGGGACAGAAGATGCATATAATTCCTAGCCATCCACTAAGATGTCAGCACTGACTCGTGAATAATCCCAGGCCTGGAGAATCGGTTGTCCTAGGGTCGGCCATGCCCTGCCCTCCTGTACCACTGAACCTGCTCTCGAGGAGGCGGAAGCCCCTGTAGCGATATTTTGTTTGTGTCTTAACAAATAAAGGTTGGCTGAAGATCAGAGTGCAGAGTTAAACCACTAGAGACGAGGCAGTGGAGGCAAATACCTTTAATCCCAGGACTCGGGAGACAGAGGCAGACAGATCTCTCTGTTAGTTCAAGGACACCCTGGGCTACACAGAATTGATCCAGTCTAACAAAGAAGCAGCTCACAGTAAGGCGATCCTAACACTTGGGATCAGGAACCTTAAATCCCAGCACTAAGGAGGTGGAGACGGGAGTGACATGGCTGGGCAGAGAGAGGAGTATAAGGCGAGAGGAGACAGGAGCTCAGTGCAGTCAGAGGCAACAGTCTGAGGTTTGGCAGAGACAGATGCAGCCCGGAGATGCAGTCTGAGGATTTGTAGAGACAGGATCACCCCTTTAGTCTGAACATTGGTAGAGGTAAGAACTCTCTAGCGGCTGGCCACTCTGCTTCTCTAATCTTTTAGCATTAATGCCTATAGCTGACTCAGGTTTTTATTATTAAGAACAATTAGAATTCGTGCTACAGGCACCTGCTGCATACCCTATGCAGTCCTCATGACAGTGCACCTCACCCCCTCCCTGGGCTCCTGAAGAAGCTAGAAGGTGCTTCACCGCTGGGGTTGTGTTATGGCAGAAGGACACCAGGAGGGTGGGTCTCAGGTGCATTGCGTGGGTCTCAGGTGCATTGCATGGGTCTCAGGTGCATTGCGTGGAGGGTGGGTCTCAGGTGCATTGCGTGGGTCTCAGGTGCATTGCGTGGAGGGTGGGTCTCAGGTGCATTGCGTGGCTCTCACAAGTGGCTCCCTCTGTGACAAGCTCTGTGTTTCCATCAGGTAAGGGATGGGATTTGGAGCCTGCACAGGAGATCTCTGTGGGGCTGGGTTGGCCTTGGTAATCAGGTTGAAGCATCTTAAGAAGGGCTTGGATGTCACCAGGGACTTCTGATGAGATAGGAAAGACTCAGGTAAGAGTTGGAGGCACACAGGAATAGGAAGGAAGAGAAGTGAGCTCCTCGGCCCTCCCAGTCCAATTCTCTCAGCCCAGAGCCAGTGCCTTGCACGCTTGGCTGTCACTGCTGCCCAGGTGCCACAAGCCACAGCAATAACCCACGTTATAGAGCTGGGACAGTGACTTGTCCCAGAGAAGGAGCAAAAAGGGTTGCCAGTGTTTGCCTGGCAGAGACTGAAGGGAGACGAGTGAGTGGCAGGCACCTGATGCTCAGTGGAAGTTCCTCCCCTTAAGGTCCCAGGGGGCAAGAACTGGGACAGAGAGGAGTAACCTGCTTGGGGAGTTGGGGGGAGCATCACATCATCCTTCTCTGCCATGGCAGCCCCTGGTGTCCCATGCACCAGCCCCCACATACAACCCAGAGCCCCCTTTCAAGGTCAGGAGGGTGGATGCACAGCCCGCAGCCTCCTCCTGATGCCTCAAGGAACATAACTCGCACTCCTCGTGTGATGCCAGACGCCTGGGTCCTGGGGTGGTCCCGGAGAGGAAGCTAAAATTGGAAGAGAGCTCATCCAACTGCAGCAGCCAGGGTCCTGAAAGAGCCCCAACCCAGGCCAGCTGAGAAGAGTCAGGAACCGGCAATCACGGCGTCAGTGGCTCACAAGCAATCTCTCGCCCCATTGAGCAACTGGCACAAGTGGTTGCTTGGCGATTGCTTCGGACTCTGCTCTCCAGCTGGAGCCAGACTAGGGCAGAGCCCCTCCTCAGAATCAAAGTCTGCCCAGCTAGAGAACACAGGCTGATTTCACGGGTGTTTATGAAGCCACGGCAGAGTGAGTCCCCTCCCGGCTAAAGGACAGCAGCCGGTTGCTCTGTCACCGCTCACAAAGAAGGTTTGCTCGGGTCCCCACAGAGCATCAAACGCTGAGCTCTGGTGCTTGCCACTTAGCATTCTCTGCAAGTGACCCTTAAAGCGGGGACAACAATGTGAGGACACAAACCCACTGTGTCCCACAGCCAGAGAGGGCAAAATGCAGGACGTAGAGCCTGCCAACTGGCCTGGGTTTCCACGGCCCTGGTCACCTCCTGTTACTGGAGAGCACTGTGTGGGCACACTCAGAACCCCCAGCCACCTCCTCCCCCACTGAAGGGGGGCAGGTTGGGAGAGTGTCCATCAAGTTGGCAATTGTATGTTTTACCCACTTCCTGATGGACACACTAGACTTCACTAGGTCTTATATAACCTTGGGGGTCAGCGCTTGATGATTTCAGTGCTGTGAGCCGCTGCCAGGGGCTGTATTCACACGATTTAACCCCCCAACCTCAACCTAATTGTACCAAACTCCCCCGCACACACGATGTAGCAGGTGTCAGTCATGAGCCCACCGCCTCAGCTCACAGGACCTGGTAAACAGCTGATCAGCTGACTTACATAAATTAACATGAGAGATCATGTCAGCCCGTGGCTTTTAACCTGATAAACAGGTGTCAGGCTGGTTGCCATGGAGAGGTGAAGGGGGTCACCGGGGTCAACCAGGACTCCCTCCAATGAAGAGCAGTTCCTAGGGGCTCTGTGAGGAGGCCCGGGCATGCCTGGCATTTTAATTCTGCCTGGCTTGCCCATCTGTGAGTTCAAGTGAGTATGATGTGTTTATGTGTAAGAGTATGTGTCTGTGTATGCGTGTGTTATGAACGTGTGTGTGAATGAGCACAAATATGAACAAGTATATGGGTGTGTGTGTGAATATGTATATGTGAGTGTCTATTTGAGAAGTTATGAAGGTCAGTGTATGTGTGTGCATGTGTGCGCTCACATGGGATGTGCGTATGGCCATGTGTGCATGTTCGCATGGGTAGACAGATGTACAAGAGTGGACATGTGAGTAATGGGTGTGCATATGGCTGTATGCACGAGTGTGTGAGTGCATGAATACAAGCCTATTAATCAGAATTCTCCAGAGGAACAGAGCAATAAAGATGAAGATCTATTAAAACGGGAGTTGCTGGGGTTGACTTATGTACCATCTGCTCTAGTCTGACAATGGCTGCCTTCCCGCTGGAGAGGCTGAGAACTGAGTGCCTGCTCAGCCTGTGAGGTTCGACACCTCCACAGTCTCACCCTCATGCAGAAGGAGGACTCTGGTCTTCAGGCCACTTTGGGAACACAAAGAAACTGAGTACCGATAGCAGGGCTGGGATGCAGTGGCAGTGAGGTGGCGTCAGCGGCAATGGCAGAGCAGTTGAACTCGCCAGCGAGTTGCGAAGTCGATGAGCCAAAAAGCTAAGGTCTCAGATCCCCCGTGTGGGGGCCACTGTCGGAAGATGCTGCCCAAATTTAGGGTGTGTCTTCCCACTTCAGTTAATATGACCAAGAAAAGTTCCTCACGCACATTCCCAA